TTTTAATTCTCCCTTATTATATGCCATCTACTTATTTTCTGAGAATCTGTTTCACAAATTTGTTCTAACAAACCCATATCCACAATTAATCTAGTTATTCAGAGTGTAAGTGAATATTTATTCCCTGAGAAAAGCATTCTTTGTCCCTCAAGCAGCCCAACCATGATCAAATGTCTGATACATCTTTGTGGCAGTATGAGTTTTAGTCATTTTGCTGTAATTATGTCCACTTCATAATTTACTTTTTACCAAATATTTTACTAGTCACTTTTACTAGCAAATTCTAAGCGTTACTAACTAACTATAATCTGAGTTCAGACCTAAAGTTATTTTTTGTATCAGATTTTATCCTCAACAGCTTCTTAATGGGCAAAAGTTATCCATGAGCTATTTCCTTGGAAATAATCCTACTAAAAGAATACTAAAAACACAACACTCCTTAGACCCAGTGAGGAATGGGACTTCTGATTTTTCCCTAGATTAAGGTGCCTCGCATTATGGTTTGCTTATTACTTTCTTTCTTCATTGATTCATCAATAATTCATTTTCTCAGCAAATTGTTGCCATCTCCTACCTGTAGTGTTTTGGCATGCATTACTGAACATTTTTTAAACACAGAACTTAATTTTTTTTTCAAGCCTACATGTTAAACAAACTTCATCTTACTCTCTGAGGGTGCCAAATTTTCCCAGGTTTGAATCTAAATTCTGTGGGCTCATGTCAAACCAAGTCATTGATCTGATATTTAAAATCTTTAGTTGTTCAGCTTGGATTCAGCTGAGAAGCCCCCTTTTCAGTATGATTTTCAGTTGTACCTTTTAAATAAGACCAGGACAACCAAAATTATTCTAGATATTAAAATTAGTGGATTTTAATAGAGGAAATTGCTCACACAGGTTACAGGAAGATTGTGAAACCAAAGAGAGGATCGTAGAACCTCCCGTAGACTAACAACAGCAGAAAGCTGTGACTTCCCAGATGATGAAGGAAAAGGCAGTATTGCTGGACCCAGGAGATGGGGTTCAGCTGGCAAAAGGCAGAACCTGGGCTTCATTTGGGCCCTTCTGATACAGCTGGAGGCACCCTTGCCCTCCAATCTCTCACCTAGCAGGCGGCAACTGGGCACAGGAGCTTGGGAAAAATAGCCTCAGTAGCCTATGTAGTCTATTTGACTCCTGGAGCAAATATACCACTCCTCTGCAAGAGAAATAATTTCCAGTAATAAGCTTCAAGTTAACGCATTTTTATTATCTATACTTTAATAAACATTTTTATAGACATTACTCTGAAGGAATTCCAGGGAGTTCATACAGGTTAGAATCACCCAAGCTAGCTAGTGTATAATTTATGCCTCCCTTTTCAGTAGCACAGAAATTGCAAAGACATGGAAACAGAACAGAAATCTGTCATTTGATCATGACTGCAGGGTTTTATTTGTATTTTAAAAATTAAATCAGTAAAACAGAATGGCTGGAGGAAAACTATTTGAAAATCATGCCTCGTGGAATTGGAATCCAGGAGAAACTCTTTAACTTTGGCAACAAACCCATGAAGCCAAGTGCACGTGTGTCAGGGCACACGGTAGTATAGACAGCATCTCTGTCTATTCATTTGTAGTACAGATGACATCTCTTTATCTATCATCTATCTGTCTAATCCTCTATCATCTATCAATCATAATCATTATCATCTCTCATCAATCAATCCATCATCTCTCTATATAATATCCATATATCATATATCTGCCCTCTGTCTATCAATTATCTATCTATGTATCTATCTATCTATGTGCCTGCTATCTAACTATTTATCTACTTATCTCTCTATCTGTCTATCTTAGTTTACTAGGGCTCCCATGCCACATGTCTCACCATGATGGAGGTTAGAATTCTGAGATCAAGGTGCCCACAGGGTTAGTTCCTTCTGAAGGCTGGAAGGGAAGAAGCTGTTCCAGGCCTCTTTCCCTGGCCTACAGTTGGTGATCTTCTCCCTCTTTGTCTCCACATCACCTTTTCTCTGTCACTGTCTATGTCCAACTTTCCTCATGTTTTTATAAGAACACTAGTCATATTTAATATTCTACCTTAATAATTTTATTTTAACCTAATTACCTGTATACCTAATTACCCTATATCCAAATACAGTTGCATTTTCATATATGTGAAGATTAGAACTTTTAACATATAAAGGGCGGAAGGCACACTGCAGCCCATAACACTGCCTACCTCTCTGAAGAGTAATGACAATAATTGTTAGGAACTTACATCAAGAAATTACAATTTTTTTGTTTTGATCGAGTGCTTTATTACTAACATTAATTAGAATGGTCAGTATGTGAAGACAATAAAGAGTGCACCCAATATTTAGTAGGTTTTATTTTTGCTTTTCAATTATTTACAGAAAGAGCCTCCTGCTATTGCCTGTACCTGGGGAGGACCACTCTTACCATAAGCTCTTGGCACACACCACCCAACCATAAGCATCAACCTCCATAAAATTCAGATTAGACAGAGGAGTGGCAAGGAGTGGATCTGAAGGCATGCGGGCATGGATGGGCCAGCCACTTGTCCATGTGTATGATTGCTGTGTCTCACTTAGTCCCAGCCACTAGACGTTTTTGAGTCTGGCATGCTGTGTGCCCCTCTCAGGAGGGTAGGGAATGTTCTCCTACTCCCACGGTGTTCCAGCTGTGGGGAACTTGGCAAGATTATCTTCTAGGCTGTCAGACTAAATACATCACAGAGATGTCCTTTATTCTCCAGCACTGTGAGATCACAGGGAATACTACATCGACATTCTCAGCTCCACCTGAGTCAGGACACAGATCATTTCCGCCCTTGGATTCTCAACCCATAGGGGGTTTATTGTTCCCCTGTGCCTCGGTCCCCAGGAACTGGACTAGGGAGTGGCCACCAGGCCACTTCCTGGGACAAACTGATATGTAGACCCTCTAAACTCTGCTCTTTATTATTTTACCTTCTTCCAAGGACATCATTTTATACTCTTAATCTTAAAGATAACCATGTTTTTCATGGCCCACAATCTTCTAAAAATCTATGCTTTTCATACTTAAAAGCCAGTAACTATCTTTACATTTCTGAATTCCATAGTTTCATCTCTTCTCTCGGGGAAAAGGGAATGCACAGTAGTTAAAACTTCAAACCGTTGTGCTGTATGTATACTGTTCTTTGATCATTCCTCAAATTATTATCAAATCACAACTTAGTCCTGTTGTTGAATTCTTGATTTCTGCATCTTAGTTATGTGACTTGGTTGAGCCAGATAGCCTTGTATGTCTCAGTTCTTTTACTTGGCATCTTTTGGTAATGATATCTACACCACAGCACATGGTGGTTACAAATATCAAAACAGTCCAAAAAATGCTTTTAAATACAGCAAGATTTTTTTTATAAATGAAAAAGAATATTGGTGTACATTTAATTAAATATGTAAACTACAAAAGTATTACTCTCTTAAAACATCTTCAGCCATATGTGATTAAATATTTTGTGTTGTTAATTTTTTTCTATCCTTATATTTTCCATCTTTCCCTGGTGCCCATTCCAGAAGGTGGTCAGCAAAGCATTTCACTGAGTATCTAGGAAAATGGAAGGCAAAAGCAGCTGGGAAGAGTTTTAGTCTATGCATTTTGTTTCTGAAAACCTCTATGAAATTATACGAAGTTTTTGACAGTGGAGAAGGAGAAGAAGGGTTACAGAGGTGACATTAAAACATTTTATTGGGAAGTAGGCATTTTCTCTACCACTGCTCATGGGTAGCTGGTAACCAAGTCAGCGGGTCAAGTTCCTGGCTATGACTCTGGAAAATGATACCATAGATCATCTCAACACCAGTTATATTGGCATTTTTCAAAGTTTTCCAAGCAACTCTAATATACAACTAGAGTTGAAATGAACTGATTCAAGCAGCCCAGAACAAAAGTCTCAAAAAAAAAAAAAAAATGGCCAGGTATGACTGATTTGACAGAGCTAAGGAGCCTAAAAATACTCTGCGGGCAGATAAAATAGACATCTTCTAAGATACCTGTGAGGACTGATGATCATGGTCTGACCCTTAGCCCCATGGAAGATGCCAAGAAATGTGTAATATGTGGGGAAGTACTCGAGAATTTGAACTTCAGTAAAATTTTAGAAAATAAAGGTAAATTTCTTGCATACCTGGTTTTGTAGTAACAAATGTGCATTCTTAATGCATCCTTAAATTCGTCGAAAATTAGTAAAATTTATTTTTGTTGTAATTGGAAAACTACTACAGCAGAGTGGAGCAGGGAAAAATAATCTTTCCAAACCTACACATTGATAAATGAAAGGGCAAGCAACAAAAACTTAGTTCCTGAAATGTTGCTACGTGTTCAATAGCTAATATTATCTTATAATTGCACCAAGTGTTATACCTTTACTCTCTGATCCTGTGGCTAGCAGAATAACATACATCCCCATTTAGGCTGATGAATCCATTCTTGCAAAGCTAATTACTTCTAGGTGAGCCAATAGGTAAGAAAAATGATTCTATGACAACTTTTAGGTATATATCTTGCTTGTCTTGATGGCTTACTTATTTGACTATAAAAGACAAATGACTCTTTTCCAACATACCCAATATTAGGCCTTTCTGAATTCAGTGTGATTTTTAAAAATCTGAAGAAAAATTCATCTTAATCACTGGTTTTCTTATTTTTATTGCTAATCTTTGAAGATATTTATACTTGTGTGACTTATCATTTAATATTACCAGTGTTTGAAATACGGTTTTATATTCCCAGGGGTTTGACCTACTGACGTCTTCCTGGTGGTTGGCAGAATGGAGAGAAGTTTGAATATTAACATCTAGTCTTGAGTTATTACTGATTTAGTGTTTCAGAGTTACTAGGTGATCTTTTGAGGACAGAAATTCATTCTAATTGACCCCACAGCTAAATAGACCAACACCATTGTAATATGAAACTATTTTATTTTATTATAATAAGGATGAATGTGCAATAAATATTTGGTGAATAAATTTAAGCTTCTCATTGCAATTATATACTCAAAATCAAATACAAGTTTATTACAAAATAAGCACAATATTTGAAGAGTTAAAACTGAACTTATAAACTATGATTGACTCATAAGATCCAAGAGTTATTCAGAAGCAACCCACAGGGGTGACCTTGCCTCGTAAACACTCCCCACTCTCTCACCCCACCTGGCCCACCACACTTTTAACCCTGATATTGATACGTATACATGGGAAAAAAAAATTGAGAAAATAACGCATGTACTTCAAGCAAAACAAAATACCTTCACCATACCTATTTGTTTACTAGATAATACAAAAGAGGTATTTTATCTTAGCCTGATTACTTGCCTGAATCATAACCTTGATTCTTCGAATTGCTTAGCATGCTTATACCTGTGCAGTGACTAAGGAATAAAACAAAGAATAGAAACCATTCCTTTCAACGCCCAAACTGCAATTCTCTAATTGGGATCATATAAACTCTAGATAAGAATTGAGTGTTAATAGCCTTCTATTGATGTGCCTTATCAAGGTAGATGCTTCTGTTTGCTTGAGGTGCAGATAATAGGCTATGAAAAAATATTATTTTTCATTTATAAATTATTTTTCTTTAAACAAAAATTCTAGCTGAATTTAACTGTATTAATTAGAGACCTTAAAATCTGTCTTCTTAATTGTCCTAAGAGAAATCAGAGCTCCCTTTTCACTAAAGTGTCTGATGAACAAAGCCTTTTATTAGATGAACATTTTCATATTTTGACAAATCCAATGAAAATCATTATTTGATATTTACAATTTTTCATGACAATCATTTTAAAATGATCATTACTTAGTTGTTAGTCTGTAGTATAAGAAACAATGTAGAGGAAAAATAATAGGTTTTTAGAATAGATATATGTTTTATTGTTATGGATTATCAATTTCAACTTTAGATTCTTATCCGATAATACATGATGGTCAAGAAGGAGTAGTCCATCATTGTACACCTGCTAATGATGATGGGAATATTTGACTTTGGAATATGAAAATTGGAGCACGGATTGAGTGCAACAATAGCAAATACATTTAATACACCTGAAGTCAGAATTTCCAAGTAAGTCATTTTCATTCCTACCACCAGTAACAAATTGAAACTTTCATATCAATTTAAATGTAGTCGTAAAGCAAGTTCTCCTGCCTGAACATACTTACAGTTTCTGGCAGGACTTTCTAAAACACATTGGCCATAGTCCATACTTGGAGGTGAAAGCAGGCATTAGACATAACTGGTGGAGGTCTTACTAAGTGTTGCCATGTTTCTTCGCTTATCTGTGTGTGGCACACAGTATGCAGGCACCGGATATCTGAGCCTTTGCTTCTTTCTGTTGCAGCAGCAGAATCCACAAAGCAGACCCCCTCCAATGAAGAGGACAGCAGCGCTCGTCCAGCCGAGGAAAAGTGCTGCTCCCAGCTCTCGTTTCTGACCTATGTGAATGGCTGGGTTGTAGAAATCTCTGATGATTATATTGGCTGTCCAGCTCACTGGAATCAGAACGAAGATGCCCGTCAGGATGAAGAGGACTCCCGAAGTTCCCAGAAGGTATACTTTAGCCCTCTCATTAGAGCCTGTGCACTGGACCTGCTTCATGCCACAGATGCCAATAAGTAGGGCAATCAAGGAGAGAGCAACAGCCAAACACATGAGTGCCCGGGCTGTTTCCAGGGCAGGTGGAAGAGCCAACAAGGAACTATAGAACTTGCATTGCAACCTGACCCTGGCTTGTCGGATGCAGTTCATCCAGAGGCCTTCCCAGAGCCTCTCAAAGACAATAATGTTGCTGCCAACAAATGCTGATACTCTCCACTGAGGCAGAAGGGTTGTGGTAAGAGTCCCCACCATGCCAAGGAACCCAAGAACCAGCCCAGCAATTTGCAGGGGATAAAATACCATTGTCTTTCCTTTGAAGACTGGTCCAATTCGGAGTGGTAGAAGATGCTCACAATGCAGAACGTGGAAGGCTCTTGAGTCTAGAGAAGTCTTTGATGATGTTCTCCTTGGTTGGTGCCCATAACGTTTTAGTCCAAATCAGTGGCTGTGACTGAACTTGGCCTAACTAGAAATTCCTGTTGTAAATGCATGTTGCCTTTCTTCACACACATTCATTTCTGTATGGATTATTTACTAGTCATATATAATTGTTTCCCAGCCAATAAGAAGGTAGCTAGAGGTGTGTCAAGAAATACTTTGTTCAACTTTAGGATTTATCATATTATTGTCTTAGTAATGCTGTAATTAAGTGTCAAAGCTTCCATTGTGGATTGCTAATTACAGAGCTGAAAATTCCTGTGTAAAAATCACTCTGATATAATAATATAAACATATGTGTTAAGACACAGCTGAAGACAATGTTAAAACCTTGTCAGTTTATTGGAGAGTAATTAAAAAACATTTTGGACTTTATTACTTTTTTCTAGTGTAAGCCACTTTTTCTTAACATGCTAAACAATTCTGGTTTTAATAAAGATGTCTCAATAGGGAGAAATGTTTAGGTGTTAGTTTGAAGACCCACTAGAACTATTGATACTTAGGAGGAGCCCTAAGCAAGAAATTCACATTTCATAGTTTATTCTTAAGATCCAGAAAGGAAGAAAACAGAAAAGCACTCCTTATAATTAATTTGAATGGACTGTTAATTATTACATTAACTATTAAGTAACACCTCTCCCTCTGTTGAAATGTTCAGTATGTAAACTTTCATTCAATACTTCTTCAATGGCTGCTTGAAATATATTACATTTATTAAAGCCAAGCATGTACCTTTCTTTTTTGTAGAGCAATATAAAAGTGGCCCTTGAAATTGGCTATGCTTAAAATTCAGACATTAGAGAACTTTTTAGTGCTAGAAGTTATCTTCAAGGCCATTAAATTTAAGACTCTTACTTGCCAGATGAACAGGAGGCATGTGAAATGTTTGGCTAAGACAAGCCATGTGGTAACTGATCCAGGAAGAAGCCCGGGTCTCTAACTCACGATGCTTACCTCCTCTGTCTAGTGTGATTCAAGAACAGGAAGGAGAGATGCTTTTTTGAATCTTTTCATGTGAGTGGGACTAAACCTAGTGAACATTTAACATTATCCTTTCTACAGATTTTCAAATGGTTTTCAAAGGAAGCAAAATTCAATTGAGATTATTTCAAAATTTGAGTCAAGTTGTAATTTTTGACTGCCACATTCCTGCCACTCCCCAGAGGTGGTAGGGAGCTTCATATGTGAGCAGTGGACCTTTTTTCCTCTTCTTTTACATCCCACTGTCAAGAGATTTATTGTAAGTATGAAAACCACTCCAAAGCAAGCACACCAATTGCACTCCAGGTGGGGAGACATTACAGTTTGCAAAATGTCCTCCATCTCAGTCAATTACAGGCCAAAGATTTAATGGGTGGTCCAATGACATCCAGATTTGAAGAGTCCATTCACTGAATTAATGAATGTGAAAATCACTGAGTTTTCAAAATGATTGGTCTGAGAACTCCTTCTCTAAGGAATGTGAATCATTGAGCAAACAGATGACTTCTGCATCGCTAATAGTTTCCCAACACCAGACTGGATGAAGGGTTTCCTTGGCCCTTTGTTCATGGTTACTGAGACGTAGACTTAACCATTCCATCCCGGACAGGATTTTCCAGCATCACGCTGACTTGTTACTTCTGGGTCCTCTTCCTCGTTCTAGTTCCTCTTCCTCATTCTATCTCATTTTTATTCCTATGTTCATTTTGTCCTGGAAGTTTCCAACTTTTTTTCTCAATTATTTGCTTTCTCATTAGCTAGAGCATATTATCTGTATTACCAGTAAACATAAGTGAAACATATATTTGTTTAAGATATAGAGATATATCCTAAATATAGAAATAATCTGAGGCTGGGTATGGTGGCTCACATCTGTAATCCCATTACTTTGGGAGGCTGAGGCAGACGGATTTCTTGAACCCAGGAGTTTGAGACCAGCCTAGGCAAATAGAGACACCCTGTTTCTATAAAAAATAAAAATAAAAATTAGCTGCCTGTGGTGGCACACACCTGCAGTCTCAGCTCCTCAGGAGGCTGAGGTGGGAGGATTGCTGAGCCTGAGAAGTCAAAACTGCAGTGAGCTGTGATTGCTTTATTGCACTTTAATCTGGGCAACAGAGTGAGACCTTATTCCCACTCCCCCTCCTCAAGAAATAAACAAACTGAAAAAAATAAATAATGAAGAGCCTGTGAGAGGCTCTTGGTCTCTGCCTCTCACAGGCAAAGCCAATTGTTAAAAACATTTTAACCTTCTCTCCTTTGTATTTAGGGGAAGATACTGCATTTCTCTCCAACCTTTCTATGAATCTCATCCCCTTCTACCTCCTCAGTGGGCCTTGCTTTATTGATCATCCCCTCCCTTCATTATACTGACACCTTCTCCCTCTCTCTGAATTGTCCCTTAGAAAATAAACATACTTGGTTTTCTTCTATTTTAAAACTCCATCTTGGTACATGTATACCATGGAATATTATGCAGCCTTATAAAATAATAAAATCCTGTCTTTTACAGTAACATGAATGCAGCTGGAGGCCATTATCCTAAGCTAATTAATACAGGAATGGAAAACAAAATCTCACATGTTCTCACTTACAGATGAGAGCTAGACATCAGATACACGTGGAGATAAAGATGGCAACAACAGACACTGGGGACTACTAGAGAGGGAAGGGAAGAGGGAGATAAGAGTTGAAAAGCAAGCAATTTGGTACTATGCTCACTATCTGGGGGATGAGCTTATTCACACTCCAAATCTCAGCAGCAGTAAAAAACTTGCACATGTGCAACCTTTACCTCCAGGGTTCAAATGAGGCTCCTGCCTCAGCCTCCCTAGTAGCTGGGATGACAGGTGTGTGCCATCTGTAAAATAAAAGTTGAAACTATAAAAACATAATAGAAGTAAATAAAAATAATAAAATACAATAAAATGAAAGTTCTTCTTGCCAGACCTGTATTCCTTGCCATGTATCTCTACAAATCTCGTGGCCCTCTCTCAAATTTCCCACTGCTACACACATTGAAATCTGCCTTGAGTCATCCTGCTACCCACAAAAACTTTCCTAGAAATATTATAGACTTCTCGGACACCTAACTACTATCATTACAAAAACCCTTCCATATTTCTGCTTATTGTTTCAGTAAAGGTGGCAACAAACCACTATCTTCTCATGAGAGACAGTGAAGGCCTGTGATCTGGAGAGAGACTTGTTTCAGTCTTGGCTTGATGCCTTAGTCATCCATCTTGGGCATGTTTTTGAACCCCCCAAAAGTGCTTGTTCTATGAAATCAGGATAATAAAAGCATCAAACTTACAGGGCTGCCTTGATGATTAAATGGAATATGTGCCAAGAACCTGGTCCTGAGCGAACACCCAGGAAAGGTTTTCTGTTAATATGCCTCCTTTGTTTTTGTTGCGTTATCATCCTTACTAATTCTCCACCTGCGCATTCTCACGCTTCCTTCTCTAAGTGCCTTTCGCCATGTTTGTTTTGTTTGTTTTCTTCCAGGCTTCTGATATACCTCCATACTCTTCTCAGCACACTCTCCCTAAGGCACCTCACCTATGTCTGCACAGCGTTGTCTACCTCCAGTCAGATACAAGTTCTGAAATTTGTTGTCTCTGGCCCAAGCCTATTTCTGTTTGTTACCCTCAGCTCATTTTTCTGTCTTATTCTTTAATAAATATGTGCCTATAGTAGACACTGTGATGTTTCACGCAGATATCTATTCCAGCTCCTTAGAGTGCTGTGGGCAGAACACCCTCAGCTCTCAGCCTTATTCCGGTATTAACTAGAACTAGGCACGTCACTCAAACTATTCCCCATTCATAGATGCAGCCCATATCTAGTGACTCAGCAGTATGGTCCTGACTGCTAGCCATCTTAACCCCATAGGTTAAGGGGTTATTCTAGCTCAAGAGCTCACTATGTGGTCAGCTAAGGCCTTCATAAGCTTTGCATCCCAACTAAACTTCTCTGTATGGCCAATCCTCTTTCTTCCCTTCTTTTCTTAAGGTGTTGATCTCATAAGAAACATAATGCACACTAATCTCTGCCTCAGAGTCTCATGCCCAGGGAACCCAACCACTGATTAACACCTTATTGAAATGTATTAAATATGTTTCCTGTTTTATGCTGTGTCCTACGTCAGCCCCTTGACATCCCTTACCTGTACCATTTCGAGAATGTCTTGCCTGGTCTCCCTGCCTCTGCCTGTCCTTCCTTACTACTTTCTGATTCAGACATTCTCTTGAAGAACCATAGAAGCTTGCTGAATCAAACTCTCTACATGCCACCACCTTACTTAAAATTTTTTATTATTTATTGCCTATAAAATAAGATCCAAAAATTCCTTAGCATGGAGCAAGAAACAAATTTTGGAATGACTCCTGTCCAACTTTAAAACGTAGCCTCTGACTGTGATCCATTCCACGTCTTCATGGAGCTTACATTTTAGTGAGCATGATAAATACGAAACATGCAATTGCCAGAATACGTATTATTAAAAATTAAGGTATAGCTATGGTTAAAAAATATAGAGTATAAACAGAAATGATTTTAACTTTAAGGGTTCTCTGAAAGAAGGACATTCTGATGAAACAAGATTTAAAGTGCAACCTGAGGCTTGAGTAGGAATTAGCCAGATATTCGCTAAGAGAAAGAGAATTCTGGGCACAGGACACCATCTGGGTGAAAGCACTGCAGGCAAAGAGAGCTTGGGTCTAATGCAAATGAAAGACTAAGCCAGAGGAGGGTGAGAGAACTGAGATGAAGTTACAAATGTAGACAAGATCCAGATATGCAAAGCCACATGAATATGTAATAATCTCTTAAGAGCCCTGCAAATCCAGTCAAAGATTTTCAGCATGGGACTTGCATGATCAAGACTCAGGTCTGCTTAAAAAAGAAAGAAAAGAAAGAAAGAAAGAAAGAAAGAAAGAAAGAAAGAAAGAAAGAAAGAAAGAAAGAAAGAAAGAAAGAAAGAATACCAACCACTAAAACAATATGGCTATTTTGGAGAAATTAATTATAAAGAACAAAACTGAGCATGAAGAAACTGAGCAGTTAGAACATTATTGCAATAGTCCAAGTGAG